CGTAGTTGTCTCGTCGAACTACATAAGTCCTATCCATATTTCATAATTTTACCGATGGTACGGGTACGAGTTCACCATCTTACGTATATATATATATATATATATATATATATATATATATATCAGTTATTAGTGTTTCACTTTGGATATGATGTATGAAACGCGTACTCGTCCAATAACTAACTTTATATATGCATGCACAATTTTACAGTAGGTATTTAATCCAAAATATATAATGGGTGATGAATACGGTGGTGCTGATGATTTTGAATCAGATGAGGAACCCCTAGATGAGGTCCCAGAAGAAGATTTAGATACGAAACCCGGTAAGTTTTGTGTGTTCCTTCTTCTAAATTAACAGTCTGATGACTTTTATGTAGTAGTTTGTCTAATAGTTCTAGCAGTTGATGAATCACAAGCTCAATGAACCCTGAGGATGGAATAAACTTTATTAGTGGGTCTCATACTGCTGTCTAGTTGGGCGCAAAATATAGTGTCTATTTATTAAAGTTACAACAGTGATCTTTAATAAGGGCAAATTATGTTGCACGGTCTAATAGTGTTGTTTATCCTAGTTTTTTTCCAACCATATTTGGATATGCACTATATAAAGATAGATAGTATTCAGCTTTTTCCTGAGAACCATGTTTTGTTATAGTAAGGTCAGTCTTTGACGTTATATTTCACTGTCAACATGAAGACTTTGATTTGCCTACTTGAATTATCTCAAAAAACCTCAATTTATCTACCTAGTCTTAATGTAAAAAAATTATCACATTTCACAGTCTGTTGTTTCTTACGTAACAGGTGCGTGCTTCAAACGCGAGTAATTCTGTTCCCACTGCCCCGAGAAATAGCAAGACACAATATGTCTTATAATTGCTATTCCTTCATACTTTGAGGAGATATGATACTTTAAGTTACGATTACTGACTACCTAATAAGGAGTGTAGTGACAGTGTTACCCGATTCACCTGGAGCGGCGGTTATTGGATCCCTAAAACTGTATGTTTCTTGGTATGTATTTATATAAAGCTTAGGTAAAACAGAGGAGTTTGATCTTGTGATACTCAAAAACTTAACCGTAGTTGCAGTGAATTTTTTAGAAAACTCAAATATATGCCACTCTTTGTGTTGCGACAACTTTGTTGGTACTTAACTTGACTTCACGCAGAAATACAGTCTCTCATGAATTACTAAGCGTTCTAAACAATAATTTTACAAGAAATACACAAATTCATGGATTTACTCTGACGCAAATTAGGTTTATTGAGGTTAGAATCTCTGAAGAAATTCGTAGCAATGTTTAGTTGATTTTTGTAGTTTGTTACCAGTTGTCCTTGTTATCTGAAGGCGTTCGGAGGATGTGAAAAATTTCATGAATAAGGTTGGCATTGATTGGTGAAGAACTCACTAAAATTGAAGCCGGTTACAATATTTCGGCACAGAATCCTCGTAACACTACGTTTGTTACATTTCTCCAAGACTACTGTCTTGACAATGAAAGAAGTAGCTATTGAGGAATATAGTCCTCAGACTGATCTACTATATCAGCTGTGGCAAGTACGTTGACCCGAAGGAAATCTCATTCCGTATCACCACTGCTAGCAGATATCGACGAAAAACGAAGGTGTACTGTCGAATATTTTATTGCGACAATTGAAATTAAGGAGAACTGGGAGGATTACGCTACTATTCGAGTTGTCTGAACTGGCTAGATGCAACCTAGTTGATCTCATTTACGTGGCTATACGTAAGTGAGGTGATTTTCGGACCAACCGTGTGTTAAGCTGGATGTAAGAAGTGTATTCGAAGTGTCAATGAGACCGTTGCGTTACTTTTTATAAAGTGCACTCTGTTATGCAATTTATGTTGGAACTCAACATGGCAATATCCATTTCTGTAGTTGATAATTTAAGATGTTTAACGCAATTATTTCTTAATTTTTAGATGGCGTTACTTATATCACTGCTGATGAAGTACCGCGACTGCCATCAGGTCAGGCTATTGTTGGTCCAGTAGAAAAAAGCAAACGAGTTACTACTCCATATCTCACAAAATATGAACGTGCTAGAGTTTTGGGAGCGCGTGCCCTTCAGTTGTCAATGTCCGCTCCTGTTATGGTTGAACTTGATGGTGAACGGGATCCCCTAAAAATTGCAGAAAAAGAGTTAAGAGCTAACAAAATCCCTATCGTCATTCGACGTTATCTTCCTGATGGGAGTTTTGAAGACTGGAGTTTAGATGAACTTATTTTAACAGAATAAAATCTTTACACTTTAGTTGACTTCTCAATATTGGAAAAGCAGTCTAACGCTATCTGTATAGAGCTACTGTATGGTAAAATATAACCTTCCGCTGTATTAGACAAATAGTGTTTCGCATTGATTTTGACACATGATTTTCAGTCTATGGGTCATGAGTTTGAGTCCAACTCCATTCTGCGCAACTAGGTAGTATTGTCAACCCTCACACTATAAGTGTGGCTTTTAGCCTGGTGAATGAACAATCTACCGCGAGTAACTGAGCTTAAATAAACTCATATTACTGTAGCGAATCAGCATGGAACCTTACGAAGATGTGCATCGGTTCCATTTGTTACACATCTAGAAAGTACTCCTAAAGGAAAACAAAACGCAGTAGTATTACAACAGGTGAAGTATGCTTTTTTAAAAAGTAGTGGAGACATCCATAGACATTTTGATAAGAAGTGCATATATCTGTCCCACTCCATCAAGCGTTCCTAACTACTAACATTCAGTACTTGGTATGCTGAAAACTTTAAAAAGTCAGTCTACACCTATCCACGTTACTCATTCTAATAATCCACAGTGTGGAAAATTAGTGCTTTGTTTGACATACCTACGCGTGAATCTTTTCAAACTTCGTCCCACTTCAGCCAATACTGCTTATCAGAAAGGTGGTGTCTAGGCCTAAGCACTATAAGCCCATAAAGACTCACGATCTCATTGACGGATTGTTTTTTTCAACCAACAACACATCGAACCCCAGCATCATCATATCGCTCTACTTAATGCAAGCACGTGCATGAAGTCCTTTTTGCTTGGAGATTTTAATCTTTCTGAAAGTTTCTTTCGGTGACCATGCCTGAGCACAGATACTTAGTGAGCACCAAAAATATTATTGTCCAGTACAAGCCTAAATATGTTAAGATTTCGTCAGCAATCGGTCCATTAGAGTTGATAATCGAATTAATCAATACGATCAGTCACTCCCCTCCTTTTCTCTTTGAACTTGCTGTTGATCGGAACCGGTCTGTTAGGACCGTTTTTCACCTACCAGGGATGAAGCTCATCCAAAATATTTACTCAAAAGACTACATTTACCGTCATCATCTAAAAGGACTACATCGTGTGCATACTTTCAGTTCGTCAACTAGTGTTCTTATAGCATGTAGATTCCTAGGAAATTGAATTCAAAGTACCACCTTTATTAGCGCATGCATAATAATACTAAATGTATATTTGGGATCAAATTCTAGAGCACATTGCTGGTAGTGATAAAATAACTAAGAAAAACACTTGATCTTAGTGTTTGGCTCTAATTGGATTTGTTAAGGTACCACTCTACAGTAAGTTTTCTTAAGAAAACTGACTTGATTTACCAGTATTTGGATTCCATATACTCAAATTCATTTGTTACATTTTATAATCTTTATTTGTATTATCAGGACCTATGTTCAAGTTAATAAACCTGAGTAGTTTAGGAATTAATATTTTAAAAAAACGAACTCCTGATGTTTTTCAGTCTGGACATGCGCGCCAGATGTCAAAGTGCACCCAAACATTTTGTTAGCTGGGTTTTACTTTTTCGGATGGTATTATCCCAGAGATGAGATTTCGACCAAAATTGACACAAGCCATTGGTTATTCACCATTTGCTATGGTATTCACAGTCCAGTAACACTATCTATGATTTTATTTACGTATAAGAAAATTTGAGGATAGTGAATTCATTTCAGCGCATACCTAATGTTTTTCATCTTATTACCTGTAGTCTGATGGATAACGCTCCGGACACAATCTGCAAAGTCCATAATTTGTAAATGCTTGACGATCCTTATTTCTCTAATTAGGTTTAGACTTTGGTAAGGAAAAATGCCCCTCACACTTGTCTCTTCAATTCATGCGGAGTGATGCTTGATTGACTTAATTTACTCCTATTTGTCTTAAGACACCCACCTTGTCATTAGAATAGTTCACGACTTCCACCATACAAATGCTCTCCCATCATAGAAATGAATACTTTAACAAAAGTGTACTAAGTTATAAAGAGATATACCTCTACGACAGAAGAAATACCTTAAGAATTCTTAAGCAGACCTTACTTTCTAAGCCAAAAACATTATATTGTAAGAAGCGATCTGCTGAAAAGTAGGAAAAATGACTACATTTCATACAATATACATTCTAAGATGTTGGTCTGATAAACAAATTCCATGTTTTGTTTGACAGCTGACAATCACATTTCTTGTGCAAAAATGAGAAGTACAAGATGATTACAAAAGTTCGAATAAAAATCCGGGTCCAAATTTTTATTTGAATTGCAGTTAATTGTTCTTCAAAACTAAAATCCACTTGGCAAGATACGACTGTTTTAGAAGCGAACCAATGCATTTTAAATGTGAGCGGATTGAGCATGAATAGTGTATAAAGAAAGGGTTTCAGTTCAATTTGTATCTAAATTCTTGATTTCATGAAGTAGTAAACAAAATAACATAGCGATTGAAAAATGATACTTACCAAGAAGGGAATTTTAGATTAACAGAACAAAGAAAAGTACAAAAGAAGTAGGTGAAATAATTTTAAAACAAAAACGATATAATGATACTGTCGATTATCCTCCTCTCTACTAGATAAACAAAAATTATTAAAATGAAAACAATATATACAGGTACAGGAAAAGTGCCTTCGATCTTGATCAATATCTCTACATTTATGTACAGAAAATATTAGTGAATATTAAAAACGAAAATCGAATCACGCAGATTTCAAAGAATTGTCACGGAAGGCCATACAAGTAATTGCTCTTTGATGTCCTTTGTATTTGACTGGTACTTCATTTGTGTCTAAATTCCACAGACGAGCAATTCCATCTGATGTGGCAGTAATTAAAAAACGAGAATCAGCAGAAAATGCACAATCCCATACCCAATGATGACCAGTTTCACTGCCTTTTCTGCTTGTAACCACACTGAAATCAGCTGTTTTCAGGATATTAAACTTTCCATCACCACCTCCAGTAGCTATCAAGGTACTATCTGGCGAAAATTGAACTTTCACAGCAAATGAAGAATGTACTTTCTGCCGATGCTGTAAGGATAACAAATAAGCATTAAAATGCTTCAACGTTAATAGGTTAAATTTATCGCACAGTTTACGGATTCTGGATTGTCACATTCGTACAGAAATTATGGTTTTGTTTTTGTGTTTCCGTTAATGCGAATAACCAGTATAAACATTTTAGGTGATTACACCGAATAAATAGGCAGAAATCGGTAGGTTTGAACTGAGTCGGACGGGGTACACCGATGATGAGGTCGGCCCCGAACGAGCAAAACGGCTGTCAGGTGTGTTTAGATCAACCAGATCTGGTTAATAAGCACTACTAGTTAACATGGATGGTATACGACTACTAGTATCAATTAGTCAGTAGTATATGCTTTTGTTCAAATATACATCTAATTTAGGATACATCTAAACCACTGGTATATTACAGAAAATTAATAATGTGTTTGGAAACAAGTAACACAACTTGCCCAATATGATACGAGGTCTAGTCGACCAAAACGAAATGTATATTCATCTTGTGTAGGAATGAATTCTAAAAAATCCCATTCAAAACACTTCTATTTCAAATAGTTTATAAAGTATGTGCTATTATGCGTACAATGGATTACACTGAATCAAGCCAAAATTTAGCAAATTAATAAATAATCAAACAAAATCGTTGTTTTTATCCACTATACAACCATGTCAAAAGTCTGTCTGTCTTTTTTCAACATAGAACTTTGCACCGATGTGCAGCAGTTCAAGTCGCCACACTCCATGTAGCACACAAAGCAAGAGAAAAAAGTAGGAGAAATGCATATTAGAGACAGTAAACGGAGGTGTGAGACAAAGGAATAGTAACAACGAAGAACAATATAGTTCTATTGGATATTTGTAAGTCACAAGGAGTGGATGCATCTGTGGCAGCCATTAAGAATGATTTTGAGCCATATCACCAATTGTCTAGAGCCTGCATTAGTTCTTGCCGTCCCGAGGACCCCAACCGGGAAGTCTACACCTTCGTACGTGGCTTAAACTAACTGCTGTGGATTTCATTGACTGGTGTCATGTCAAAAGTACGAAACGCAGACAGATTCTAACTTAGCATAAACACTTGAGATGGATTATTTGATGTTATGTATGTTCGGACTATCATACAAATTGTCAGTTGTCAAGCACAAAGCACACACTAGTGAGATGGCTAACTACAAATATGAAAATAATTCCAAGCTACTATTATCTATTGAAACAGGCGTTTTTAATTCCCGGCTAGAAGGAATATTCACTTGTAACATATTCTTGTGATTCCCCTTTTTGCGTTTCTTCTTTTTATTAATTGGAAAGTTTTGATTAACTCCTTGTTCGGAGGTTTCAGTATTGTCTGTCACTGAAATCCTTATATTCTTTCAGCAGTGGTTATTAATGAAATCCAAAATAATATCAAGACGCGTTAAAAGGCCATAATGAAGTCTGTCTGTGTACAGAGCTGAAAACACACACACACAAAGAAACCAATTTGATAGAAAAAGTCGATAGTGGAAAATAACAGATCTCAATGACTTCAACCCATGAAATAACAAGCAATTACTATCTTCCGCTGGTGTGATGCATAATACCGAAATGTTTAAAGTAGTGAACGTTAGATAAGAATGCTATCACTCAACAATGGGCTGAGAAATTCTAAAGCGGGTGCAAAATATATTCCTTGAATTTTAATGTAGTAATACGAGAATAGTAACAATCTCGTACAAAGCTTATTTGTTAACAGAGCTTGAAAACAGTTTCAAAGTATTAGCACTGATAATACATCTATCCACTGAAGAAATGCCAGATCTTGAGAAGCCAGTGTACTGTTATGCTTCTAACTACTATATGAAAAAATAGGTCTAATTCATCAGCATCATTCACGTCTATGAATTATTTCCAAAGATCTAAGTATGGGCAAACGGTAACCTTCAGTAATCGATACTAGCCTTAGTGAGGAGATAACATTGTTCTTTTGAAAGAGTCGCCTTAATGTTGTGAATGTAATAATACAAAATGTCGTGTATATTTTTATTATAAAAGTGATATGACCCTTCATAAATACCGACACAACTACACATCCTTCTAATAACCACTGGTTAATCATATAAACTAAATAAAACTTTAAGAAATAGACATTTACTTCATACTGTACTTTAGATAGACTTTTGAAATAGACAGATAAAAATCACCGAGTAAAGCTACAGTAGTCATTCCATTGAGGATACATATATGAGAACAAGATATTCAAATATCATTATTTATGCATAGGCATGTTTAACACCTTTTCATGATGTCTCCTAGTGAGATTATGAGTTCATGTTAATCAAGTTGTGAAAATCACTACCGGGAGGATATTTATATCTTAACTCTCCTTTTGAAACATTAACCTAGGGAAGGTAGTCGCTGACTTTGATCGATCTGAGTCACGTAAAATAATAATTGAACTAATGAGTGAATGGTCTATTTAGAGTGGAAGCAATATGGAATAGCTTATACGTAGAATGGATGACAAAAGTGATAACATATAGACGTGTTCATATGCGGAGACTGTGAGCAAAAGATTGATTTAACTGAGTGCATATGCTGATATATATAAAACGACAAACCTTTTCTAAAGGATTCCAAGCAGAATCACCAGTTAGAGACCACACAATAAGTTGGCCATCTGAATTAACGGCGGCTAAGGAGGTTACATCTTGGTCAATAGAAAGACTATGAATAGGTTCATTCCAGGTATTAGTAGATATAGATTTAGCAGCATTGTTACGTAGATCCCATATTATAACTTCCCCTTTGTTTGTACCCATAATAATTTCATGCTGGTTACGATGAAGCAACATGGCATTAATACTCGACGATGTCTAAGTAAGAACATGAAAAATGCAAAAATTATTGAGAGTCCTTTTAATTTAAATAACTGACATTTTTGTCAGTGATAAATTTGAAGCAGACGTTCCCCGACAATGGTTATCAAGATATTTAAGTAAAACATGCTCTATTCCAAGTTTTGAGCATTATTCTCCTGAAAGAAACTATTCGATCAGCACGTGAAAGATGAATTAACGCACTGGGCCACGTAAACGTGTACATTCCTATAGTTTCTAATTTATTGCTTCCAGCAAAATTTGTACACACTTCTGACCCTAGAAGTAGGCGTTAAAAAGGATAAAACTGACTAACTGTCAGTCTAACTTTTAGTTAGAGTTAACGCAGAGTAAATTTTTAGTCCATAGATGTTTGGACCAGATTTTTGACTCACTTCTCATGCATACTTGTGGGGCTGATTACATCTCCCATACTAAGTATTCTGCTTGTACAACAAGCTCCTGAAAACTGTCCAGCATCTTTAGAAAACGTAGAGCAGAATTATGCTTTCAGTTTGATAACAGACCACTTTGTGAGAAGTCGTTTAAAAACGCATACCAGGTCTAATAAAACATCTAAAAGGGAATGGAATCAAGGTGTCTGGGCATAGCGGAGGTATCAGCAACCCGAGAATTCAGCTTACTGATGTGTCCAGAAACAATATGTCCGACCTTCGCTTTTGCTATGGCTAATACAACCAGTTGACATACCGTGTCAAATCACTATTATTTATGTTTCCTTTTTTGAACTCCCGATTTACTTCATTATAATGAAGGTTTTTGTATTTCCCAATGAATGAAAAACAAAAAGATATTGTTTTTACTGACGTTTCGCTATTTAATGCTAATAGCTTTGTCAAAGTATTATTATACTCTTTGTTATGTATATGTTGAGATTTTGTAAATTTCGGTTTAATAATACTTTGATAAAGCTATTAGCATCAAATAGCGAAACGTCATTAAAAACAATATCGTTTTGTTTTTCATTCGTTGGGAAATACAAAAACCTTCATTATTATGAATATCATATACCCAATGCCCAAATTTTTTCAAACTGTTAAAAGTGAACTTGGTTTGGACATATATAATTCTAATTTACTTCCATATCTGTAATCTCCATTCGCAATTACGTCACTTCATTTAGTTACTAAGTGAGTTATGAGCACTGACAGGACAAAAACAAAGTCGGAACCGACTCACTCTTTTGAAATAGACTAAAAATATGTGGCCTATTTGTTAACTTTGTCAGAAACAAAAGAGTGCGACAGTCTTGCAGATCTCAATCAGGAAATTTGAAGTTCTGTACCATCAGAGCTTAAAGTTCTCCATTAGCATGATATTTTATTCACACTACTCAACTCCTCTCAATTTCTTTTTATTGCAACTAAGATTGAGGTAGTTACTGGTTAAGAGTTATATATACATATATATTTAATGAGTGTTCGCAGTAAAAACCAGTCTGCTTTGTTTGTCTGGTGCTCATTTATGCAAACAAAAATAAACGAGGCTTTCGTGTTTACTTCATTATGTTTAGATAAAAATATATGCCTAGCGGACAGGCTACACAGGAAAAACTGTTTGATAAACAAATTTCACTCAGAATACGACTCCAGACTGACAGCCGCATCTTAAGCTACAAACGCTCACACTACTTAAACGCTACTTCACCTAAACATTTATCATACTATACTTAACAAATAGCTGCATACACGAAAATTATTAAGCTAGTTTTATGTGTAAAATTTGGGTACTGTGGTAGGACGTAATTCCATATTAATTTGTTTGTTAGATATATCGCACAATGAGACAGTATTATTTACTAGGTGACGTTTCAAACACAATCTCTTGTTCATAATCATATCAATTATAACTACACAACCTCGAAACTTCATTTTTATAGTTTGCTTTATTCCCTGCCATTCACTGTAGGGATAGTAGAATTTTTCAGATGCCTTGGATAGGTGTTCAATCATTCCTATGTCACGTATTTGCAGTTGATTCGATGAATAAAGCTTCTATTATCAATTTATCCTTCCACCATGTTTTATTAGATTTTGAAACTGTCATCTTATCCCATCCTATTGTATGCTCGTGTGTAATTGCATGTAGTGCTATAGCTGGACTATTCTCCAGATTCCTTATCTTATTTGGGTCAACTAATCTAGATTTTGCTAGATTTTTGTGCTTTGCCAGTCTGACTAACCCTCTTCTACTACTTTCACCTATGTACTTGAACTGACAATCGTTGCATGGTATGAGATAAACTAAACTGGTCTGTCTAATTGGATCCACAGGATCCTTTAACCGACAAAGCTTTTTTCTAAGTAAATTTGTGGGTTTAAATACCACTTTTATTGCTGCACTGTTAGGAATTCTCCGTAAGGTTTTCGAGGTTCCTTCTTTGCACGGAAGTACAACTGATGATTTAAATTCCTTACTATCGGATTTATCATCATTCTGTGCATGTTGGTCATGTATATCGCCATTATTATTATTATTATTATTACCATAGTTGTTATTATTTTATTTTTACATTTTACTACATACTCATTGATTGATTTATGAGGGTAATTGTCAAGTCTTAAGTTTATTTAACAGGGTTGGGGGGGGGAGATTGATAACGGAAGCTTTATTTATTGAATCAAATGCAAACACATGTAATAGGAATGATGCAACACCTCTCCCAGATATCTGGAAAATTATATTACCCCTAAGACGAACAGGGAGGAAGAAAGGAAACTATAAGACGAAAGGTTATAATTGATATGATTACGAACAATAAATTGTGTTTGGAACGTCACCCAGTAAATAATACTGTCTCAATGTGTGTGATATGTCTGATAAACAAATTAATATGAAATTATGTTAGTTTACTGAATAGAAAATTTCGTGTTTAATCCAAAAAATGATAACGTTGCCTCTTACTGTAGATCATGAGTTATAGAGCGCAGGTAATCCACTGGTTGCATTTTACAACATAATATTTCTCTAAACACTAAAATCCAAAGAAATGCTTATGATTACCTGATAAATACGAGATATCCATATATTCCCACCGGCTCGCCAATCTATAATCTTTGCTACACGATCTTCTGCACCTGCAAACATCCAGTTTCCTGTGTCATTAAATCCAACAGTGTTTACATTTTTCGTAAAGTCTGAAACCGTTACGAAAGGTGTTCCAGGACCCTCAACATCATAAACACGAACTCTCCCATAGCCAGCAGCAGCTAGATAATGCCCATCGCGAGAAAATGCTAAGGCGTTTACCTAAAATCTTCACATTTAAGTACGATTTTATAACTAACTTGGGATTCGTTATGTTGGAAACCTTGGATGCATTTTCCAGTATTTGGTTGCCACATTTTTATCGTGTGATCGAAACCCCCAGTTGCCAAAGACAGATTACTGTCATAGTCATTTTTCATGACTGAGTCGTTTGGTGCAAAGATTGATTGCTTTGAAATCTGGGGTTTCGGAAAATAAAATAAAAAAAATCACCATAAAATCGATCCTCAGGTACTTGGATTTAAATACTGTTAGCGTTTTTCTTTATGATGCAAGACAACGCTAAATGATATTAGTTTATACAAAGAATACAGTAAGGCTGTGAAACTTAACTTGTAGTCGATATACGTATCAGCACTTCCTAGATAGCAGTGAAAATTGATTACCTTTGAAATCGTTGGAAATGTAAACAAATGATGTTGATTTCATAATAACTCGTTTACTGGATACATCACACAATGAAAGTATTATTTACGGGATTAGAAAGTCGCTCGTATAACTGTCTCTATTCATGTTTTATCAGTGCATTCACTAATTGGACAACCAGTGAAAACGGCCAGATTTAACTGGGTCCACTTGGTATCACAGTCAGACTAGTTCAACTAGCAACTGAGACTTCTCATTAAAACTGGGACGTATTTTTAGATCATTACACAAAAAGGTACCCTTTGTAATGTGCTTTCATGCATTTTATTGTAAATATACATCTTTTTTGCAAAAATTCCTCATTTTTATTATTGGTCGGCTGAAGGCCACTCGTGCGTTTGCACTCCTGGGACGCTATTGTTCGACTTTGCCTGTCCAACAGCAGCGTCCAAAGGGATGGAAACGCATGAGTGACCTTCAGCCGACCAACCACAAAAATGAGGAATTTTTGCAAAAAATGACGTATATTTACAATAAAATGCATGAAAATACATCAAACAGTGTATCTTTCTCTAACATGACTTAAAAATACGTCCCAGTTAAAATAAGGATTATCCAACATCCAATATTGTTTTTGCGAGCTAGGATAAACCAATATGATTTCTTTGTGGTCGCCTCTTGATTGTGAGGTATAGGTTCCTGATCTTCGGTAAACTACTGAGTAGCCCATCCTGCCACTCGACTGCCGTAGCTTTGATTGACTCCTAAAGGAGTAGTGCTGGAATTAATTATATGTGGTTTGTAGTATACTACTTACTTTACTTCGGCTATCTCCTACGGGAGGATGAGCCAGCTTCATGAACATAGAGTTCATGAAGTTTCATGGGAATTTAGTACCAGTGATGTCCCCAGAATCGCTCGGTCTTTTGTTTGAGAGTGCAGCTCTAGCCTTTACACAACCAAGTGTGACCTACAAGGCAGTAGGAGTGGAGTAGGGAGTCCAATATCCATTGGCAGCCGGTGACCGGAGTTCGGTTCATACGCCTTTTAGAATGGGGCCAGACATCCAGGACATCCAATAAGCCCTTTGTCCATACGTCTGCCGGTGAGCTCCAGTGAGCTTCATACGCCAGTCGTTGGAGGTTTGGAATCAGGGTTTAGCCATCTCCCCTAGACTGTCATCCAATGGACAGTCAACCCGGTGAAGAGCGCCGGACATCAGCTTTCGCCCTCTCACTTTGGTGAAAACCACCTCCGCCACGTGAAGGCAGTGAGTAGGACTTCCTCAGGAGAGGCTATGTAAGACACCCGGTCATATGGGAGCATTTCAAGAGGTGTGCGGAGGGGTGGCCAACCCGCAGCGCAAGGCACCCACCCCCGACCATCCTGAGGCTTTGGAGGTGCTTTAAGACTGTTACTACTGTGAATGGAGCTGATCAATTCACTAGTTAGTCCTCCGGTATTGCCGTCAAAAGAAAAGAGATAATAATAATAGTAGTTGCTAAGTTAGACTAATTCCCATACATGTATTCACCGAGGTGAATACAGATGAGTTGTTTTTTTTGAATTATTTATCTTTCTTATCCTGTTGTGCAGTCTTCCCCAAGAGCACTCGGTTGAATTACTTCGCGGTTTCGACGACTACTACCTACTTTTCTAACACCTTCAAACACTGTTCAGCTTTGGCTTTGCTACCGCGACATCCCAATATGTTGTTGTCATGATGAACTGGGATTTCCTTAATCTATGTAGAATTCTATTTATTGATAAAGTACTAACTGGATGCAATACTGTAGTAAAAATGCTGAGAATTCCATTCTGTATCACAAGTACTGTTTTGGAATAAAGCAAATTATTATTATTACCAGGACGCTATTGTTAAACTTTGCCTAGCCACGATCAAAACTATCAACGAAACAAAATACAACGTCAATTTATACCAAATATTGAGTTCCATCCACTCAAGAAAGCATAAGTGATATGTAGACCCGACCTCAATTATTTCACCGGGTCTTCAAGGTTATCCAAGACACTTTTGAAATAGTGCATAAGTGGTTACTTCAATATCCAATGTTCACCTAATATCCGATGTCGTTTTTACGAACTAGTGCAAGCCAATTTGATTTCTTTCTACTCGCTTCTTGTTTGTGATGTAAAGGTCCTTGGTCTTCGGTAAACTTTTGCGTGGTTCGTCCCACCACTCCAATATCGTGACTTAGGTTAACTCCAAAGGGAGTAGAGCTGGGATTTATTATATGTTGTTTGTAGTATGCAGTATGTTAACGCTTCTTTGCTGCTGTGTATGAAGTTGATCCTTTTGCCAGCTAGTCATCGGGTGTCGTCGTTGGAAGAAGAGATATAATTAGTGTAGGTTGTTCAGACTAAAAGACAGAAAAAGAAATAAAGAAAAAGTAAAAACGGACAGCTAATTAAATTTGAAGTTGATATATGTACATATATATTTATAATATCAATAATAATAGGTGTGAGTGTGGTAGTTGGAGTAGCCAGGAGATTAAGGCAGGAGAGAGTGCAGAGAAGTAAATAAATGAGTTTGAATATCTACCCATTAATGGTGCAGGGATTCTAAGGGGATGGGCCATTTGGACGCAGTCCTCATATATATATATATATATATTTCACATAAATTAAGCATTCACATAATTAACATACCGTTTGTACAGGCATGATCATATTCGACGAGTGCAATTTGAAATGGAACACTGCTTTTTGACATTAAAAATTGGAAAAAAATGGAAAAAAACCTCTAGAAACTTTGTTAGAATAGATTACAATATATTGGTTCAAGTCTAATTTATAGTCTACAATATACTTATAGTCAGTCAAATTTATGCGGGAATTACAAAATGTTGCGTTAAATGGAAGGTAAGAAGAGAGGTGATAAACATGTGCTAGAGTAAGACATACAGGATACAGGCTTTGTGATCATATGGCTGCATGATTTTCTAGCCCTGGATTTAAAGGTGTCCACAGACGGTGCCGTAGCTACATCTGCCAGTAAGGATTTCCAGGGATGGCAAGCCCGCAATGAAAAGAAACGGAGGCGCATTCGAGTATTTGCCCTCTGGTGAGCTACCTTTTTGGAATTTCCACTAGGAAACCCACGTACTTAATGGCAGGACACCTTTGTTTGGGTGATTCTGGTTACTTGTTTTCTTATAGTCAGTAATCAAGTCCCCATAAGCCGATTGTAGCTAAGTAAGGAGAGGCCTAATTTTGTTAGCCTTTCATAATACGGTTTGTTTCGGAGACCCATCACTCCTTTAGTCGTTCGTCTTTCGACTCTTCCAAAAGGTTTGCATCTCTTCTAATCAGTCTGGGTGCAGTGATATTGTGCACTTCAAGGTGCGGTAGGACGTAGGTTTTGTACAACCTTAGAAAAAGATCAGGAGTGAGTGCACCTAATTGTCTGTGTGTAAAGTGTATGACCGCAAATGCCCTCGCTATATCCCCGAGTCATTTACGCTTGTGTCCATTTCCTCCGATAGAACTAGACCTTAGTCGCGCTCCGACGTTGTGTAGGACAAGCTTTCACTGCACAGGGTGTAACTTTCATTCTGCAGTCTACAGGTGCTTAATTTCACTACCTTGCACTTTTCAGGTTGAAAGTCATGCCACTGGCTATCGCCCAGTCTTCCAGAAGCTTTAGATCTCCCTGCAGCCTATCTGAGTCCTCCGGATACTTTATCGCCCTCCATATCTTTACGTCTTCAGCGTGTGGAAGAGTCGGGCAGCTTAGGCAGATTAGTAGATCACCGATAGAAATCAAAAACATCAGTGGCCTTAGGATAGAACCCTGCTACACTCGTAATGATGAGCTGTAACAGGATAATCTGACTCGATTGACTTTAATGCAGAATATCCTTCCAGCTAGATAATCTTTCAACCATGACAGAAGCGGCTCACTTATACCTGCTTAACTTATTTGTGTGGGAGAAGGTGATGGTGAACTGTGTCAAATGCCTTCTCAAAGTCTAGGAAGACCATAAGGATAGGAATATTCATATGCCACCATAATGTCCAATCGTCCCAAGCTGATGGTGGGTTTGTTACACAGGATCTATCTTTCCTGAAACCATGTTGTGCTTTATGCAGTCTATTACTCCTATCGGAGTGTTCCCTGATATGATCATCAGTAATAATTACCAGTACTTTTGATACCAGTGTGAGTGGGGCTACTGGTCTTTAACTTATGGCATTCTACCTACCCACACCCTTGAAAATCGGAGAGAGGATGGATCTTTTCCACAGATTACTCAGCCCAGTCAATGGCCCACTCTGCGTGGGACAAAGGCCTCCGCATTTCACCATAATGCGCCTTGTTATAGCACAAACAAGGTTGCGTAGTTTCCCACTGTAAGTGTTACGGCCTACGGTGAAATGTTACCGAATGGAGTCTGGGAGTTCAGGAAATAGTGGGCCC